GGCCCCCCCCTGCGGGAAAAGCCACTCGATGGTCTCGCCGTCATACTTATGTCCAAGCTCCCGGGTAAGTTGGAAAACCCTAGCGGCGCACGTGGCCGGCATGCGGATCCGCCGCCCCCGCCCGTCCACCTTCGTGTGCCTGTCCTTCGTCGACGTCCTCTTCGGCGCCGCCTTCTTCGACTGCTCGACCTGAGCAAGAGTCCGGATCGGGTTCGGGTCGGGCGCGGAGGATGAACATGGCTCAATTGTGTTGCTGTTATGGTCTTCTTGGTGTTCCTTCTTCTCTAGCAATTGGAGTGGGAAATTAGGCCTACGGATGATGCCATTTTCACCACCTGCTTCCATGATCATAGGGGCTCTTTTTTATTTTTAAAGAGAGAAAGAGAAATCTTCTTTCTTTTTTTTTCTTTTTTTTTTTGGGTTGCTCCTAGGACATGATCTGTAGCTGACCCTCAACACTATCACATAGGGGTGGCCAAGTGGGTCTATTTCTCTTTTGTGGGAGCATGGCAATGGGAATTCTTCCTTTGATTTGGGAGAGCTGGCAAACTGATCAAGTTGTTTTCTCTTGTTAGTGAGAGAGAAAGAAAGGGAAAGAGGAGAGAGAGAGGATAAGGAGATTTTTTTTAGAGAGAGGATAAGGAGAAGAGGGCAAGCTTTAAGCAACAAAAATAATGAGTGGGAATTATATGTGTGGGCTATGATAATATTTTAATTTTTAAAAGCATTGCAAATTTTCTTAAACTTTTTTTTTTTTTATCAAGCAAATTATTAAATTCAATTAAAAGAAGAAAAAAAAAGAGAAAAAGAAAGAAAGAAAGGGGAGTCCTTTTATTGTGGTTGGACAGTCCCTTGATTCAGACTCCACGTGCGGTGCTCTTTATCATTCAATCCGTAAAGACAGGGGTGCCAGTGTGGGACCCAATCTCCCAAGTCAAAAAAAAAATAAAAATAAAACTAATTAGGAGAGAGAGAGAGAGAGAGAGAGAGAGATCAGAGATCGGAGTGATTGGCAAAAGAAAAAGATGATCAAGTGGCTCCCATCTCTCCTTCACGTAATCATTGCACTTTTTCCTTTGCATCTTTCCCCCTTTTCTCCTTTGCCTTTGGAGTTTATTTCTTGCATTTCCCTTCTATTTCTATATCAGTATTTATCTGCGCTGCTCCAACCAAATACCGAAACAGCGCCTAAAATCTCTCTTCTCATTAAAAAAAGAAAAGAAAGAAAGAAACTAATATTAACAATTTGATGAATATATACTTGTTATTTGGCACTTTGATCTCCAATAATTTAGCCAGTAATTTGTGTTTGAGCTAGGTTTTAGAATATTCTCCTTTCCTTATCTTTTGTTTAGTGCGGTTGGATTTAGAATATCTTCTTAAATTGTTTTTATGAGTTGTTGGAAGTTCATTGCTCTCTAATGATTACCTAATTTCTTTCTAAGCATATTAAGAAACCCTCTCTCTCTCTCTCTCTCTCTCTTTCTCTGAGAAGTGAGAATTGATAAGCTTTTTTTCTCGTAACATCGCAGTGGAGCGGGCATATATATATATAAAGAACTCTTGATATCCACACATTACGAAACAAATAACTATTTTATATATATATATATAAGCAGAAAACTTTGATCTATAAATATTACGATTTCTTAAAAAAAAAAAAAAGAAAGAAAGAAAAGACATAGCAGGATTATATATATGTATAGACTATTTGTGCCACTATAATAAATATATACTGATTTCTAATAGTTTGTGTCTGTAAGACCATTGGCCTTGTTTCTTTGACAGAAGTCACATAATGAATGAATCTCTTGCCAGCAACCACTGTGTAAAACGGCATGGGATAGGATAAGGAGACTTTGAGTTCGGAAATATGCTGGCCGTTCAATAATATTCCATATTTTGTGTGTGTATAATATATATATATATATATAATAATTGTCATCAATAGTCATGTTTTATGAATCCTTAATTAATCTAATCTTATTCCACACATGGTACAATATCCGGTATGCATACTATACTAGGACTTGAAGTACATACCAAGAAGAAATTATGCACGCTCATAATATCTAACAACTACCTAACTTTTTTTAGGTTCTCTGTCTTAGCTAGATATGTCAGTTACATGAGAAAGATATGTGGTCCTCAAGGATTTCTATATCAAAAGTTTAAATTCTGAATCAATAAGTTCTCCCCCAGTCCCCTTTTTATTCTATATAGTATAACCACATACATGCAACCCTTTTATTTGAATCATTGGCGCCATTCAAGTGGCATGTAAATTTTAGAGTCCGTTCGTTTCGCGAATTTGAGTTAGAGACTTTTGAGTTGAAAAGCATTGTAGTAAAAAATTTGAATTGTGATTCAAATTTTGAAATGAACGGAGTCTTAATATATACATCATCTACATAGAATGAAAATTAAAGACGAAAAACAAATTAAAAAAAGAGTGAAAATTGTGAAAATATGAGGAAATAAATTGGTAATGGGAAGAGAATAATGAGAGAGCATAGCACGTGTAACCCATGTGCGGAACAGCCGCGAATGTAACTTAAACGGGGACAAAAAGAACAGATCAAGAGAGAGGTAGAAAACTGAAACTCATATGTACATATATATTGAAATTTTGAGATAGAAATGGAAATTGGTACAATTATATTTCAACAACCAACATACCTAACTAATGATGAATGGTGCGGTTTCGAGAACAGTAGGCCAAAATAAGTTAAATGCCATCCATTATAAGAAAACCATATATGATCACATGTAAATTATGGCACTAATTATAGCAGTTGAACTCGATAATGACAATTTTCCAAGAGATTGTCTTCAACTTTGGACAACAAGTTTGATCAGTACTAAACTAATTGATTTGGGTGACACTTAGTCATGTCAAATATCCCTATTATAATGAGGATATATTGACCATTAAGTTGTGTGTGCTAATTTATATGTTTTTTTTTTCTCTCTTCCCCATTATGATTTCTAAGTACTAAAAACCAATTATATCAATGTTGGCCTCTCATGCATTGTCACCATACCCAACGACACAATCACGTTTCCACTAGCTAAGAACCTTTGTAACGGAGAGCCTGAGACTGACACTATACATGATAACTATGTCGTCTAATCTATACATGGAAACAACCTACAAAAAGCTGCACTATAATCATGAGATAGGTAGCAAAGTATAAGGCATTGTAAGAGTGAGACTAACATTAATTAGTTGTGAAAGTACAAGTGTAACTAAGTTTTTTTTTTTCTCCTTTTTGTAGATCCAAGTAATTGGGACATATGGTGTCTGTGTGTGTGTATAGTACAAGCTAAGGGTGTGTGTGTGTGTATATATATATATATATATATGTATGTATGTATATATAGAAATACTTTTTAACTTTTCTATGACCAGCAATTTTCCATAAATTAATAACTTGTCCACCAAAAGTGTGGACCATTTACTCAGGCTCTTTTAATCATGTGTATTATATGTACAATACTAGTATATTATGTGCCCAAAATTTTGAAATCCCTATTATGAAAATAGAAATAGAAAGAATGTATGAAAATAGAAATTAGGCCAGAATAAAATTTCTTAGCCCAAGTTTCACATGGCCTCTGGAACATTATTAATATGGTTGTATGTGTGTATATATATGTCTTACATCAGAAACGTTGACAGTCATGAAATGTTTGATGAGATAAATAGCTAGGGCTAGAGAGGATTACAATTGGTAAAATGCTTTTAGCCAAAGGACTCACGTGCCTTGCTATATACCCATATATATATATATATATATTATATTTATGTATGTATCTATGTATATGTTGGTGATGACTGATGAGGATGGCTTACCATCCCATACTGAACTTCTAGCTCAATCATTCAAACAAATTTGTCGGAATGTTGGTGGTTAGCCAACTATATAACTAAATCATTTTCGTCCTATATAATTTTAGGTCAATCTCCAATCTCGTCATCTAAAAAGTTCACAGTTCCAATTACTGTTGATCTCTAATCATGTTTGAGCTGCAATATGTGACTAATCAGTGGCAGAGTTTCTAAGGGCTGCGGGATCAGTCGCTCCCACTGACTTTAAACAAATATTAGCTTTAGAAAAAATGTTGACTCGTTCGATTTTTCTAACTGAGATTCGGTTTTTCTATGTACACACTAATTGAAATTCACATACACACATGTCATTATTTTAACCGTAAGATAAAAATTCAATGGTTGTAATAAATTAAATAGTTGACAAAAAAAATTTATAACAATTATAAAAATAAACTCTTATCACGTTAGTGATTAAATTTTTATATTTAATAGATAATTACGATAGGAACATGACTATTAAAAACACGGCTATATTATTTGTTGAAAAATATTGTACTATGTAATCAATTAGTAGACCATAATATGAATATATATATATATGATATTTCATTACAAGAGATATCCATTCAGATTACCATAAAACTAGTTATCAATATATATATGCGTGTATTATTATATGTCCATATGGAAGCTAAATATATGCCCAATATATATGCGTGTGGGAATTGAATTTTACTTGTGCAATAAGAAAAAATAATTGAGAATTGAAACTTTTCTTAGTCATTGACAGGGAAGAGAGAGAGAGAAAAAAAAAATAAATTATAATGAGAAGAAAGAAAGAATAATGATAGGTTGGCATGCACAACCCTAAAATGAAAAGGAATGACAGGTTGGTCAGCAAGGGATATATATGACTCTCTATGAGCATTTGAACGTCGTCGTCATCATGATCATGCACGATAGATATTTAGCTGTTAAGCATGCCAATGAGAAGAGCCCAAGTCTCGTTTTTGGTTTTATTTATTATTTTTCCGTACCCTGCACAAAAAGTAATGCATTTATTTATTATTTTTTTCAGAAACACTGTGACATAGCAAATTTGGGAGCTTTTTTTTTACACGATTAAGAAAAAAATTACCAGCAATTTTTAAGATCTCATTCATTTTACCGATTTAAATTTTTAATTCAAGTTATTATAGTTAAAAATTTTTAAAAAATATCACATCTAACTTTTTTTATTACAGTTAAAATCTCTCAAAAAATATCACATCTTAACTCAAATTAAAAATTTAAATTCACAAAACGAATGAAGTCTAAATTTTAACTTTAAATTTATATAAAAAATTATCTATTCTACATATTTTTTTTAAATTTAATGTGATTGTAATTATAATTTAATAGGTAAAATTATCAATATAACTGGTATACAGCAAATTTAATGCATTTATATATGCATATATATACACACACACACATGGGTGTGTCATTCCAAGCTTTTGATTGTGGTGAGTGGTCATGAGTGACCTTACCTTGTAGCGTAGCGGGAAACTGTGAACTGTCGTCCTTTTTTTATTTCTCTCCCTTCGTACTGCCTAACTTTGCCTTCATATTATTGAGGTCATTATCAAGATAGAGAGGACTGCCCCTATATATAGTCCTCAGAGCTTTAAATATATCAGCTTTTTTATAATTATTTTACTCTTTACTTACAATTAACTCAAAGAGCAAAAGAAAATTTAAAAAAAAAAGAAAAGAAAAGAAAGAACCTTGTTAGTACTT